TTTTTTTTTATTTATAAAATTTAAAAAAAATCATGGCCACTCAAATATCAAAAAAGAGAAAAGTAAGTATTAGTTTTTAAAAAATTATAAATTGATTATAATAAATGATGATTATCCTATCTGGCACCTCTTGTTTGAATACCTTTATAATATAAAGGTATAATGCACGGAATTTAGATATGTCTGATTTACTAAGAATTATAACAATAGATTAATTAGATTAATTAATATATATATATATGTTATATATGGATAAATCTAATATATAGTAATAATAATTATAGAATTATTTTATTCATCAAACTGTTATTTTTTATTCAGTTCGTAGCTGATGGTGTTTTTTTTGCAGAACTTAATGAATTCTTTACACGTGAATTAGCTGAAGAAGGATATTCTGGTGTTGAAGTTAGAGTAACACCTGCAAGAACTGAAATAATTATTCGTGCAACTCATACACAAGATGTACTTGGTGAGAAAGGTCGTAGAATTCGTGAATTGACAGCCTTGATTCAGAAAAGATTTAAATTTCCCGAAAACACTGTTGAATTGTATGCAGAAAAGGTGCAAAATCGTGGTCTTTGTGCTATTGCACAATGTGAATCTCTTCGATATAAATTATTGGCAGGACTTGCTGTTAGAAGGTATAAAAAACTTTGAAAAGAATATTAACAACAATTAAATTGTATGTTCATTTATTTATTTTATTCATTATAATAAATTAGGGCTTGTTATGGTGTACTTCGCTTTATCATGGAATCTGGTGCTAAAGGTTGTGAAGTAGTTGTATCAGGAAAATTAAGAGCTGCTCGTGCCAAATCAATGAAATTTGTTGATGGATTTATGATTCATTCCGGTCAACCAATACGTGATTACGTTGATACAGCAGTTCGTCATGTTATGTTAAGGCAAGGTGTTTTAGGCATTAAAGTAAAAATTATGAAAGTATGTGTTTGTGTGGTTTTTAATTTGTTATTTTATATATTTTAGTTATATGATAAATAATATCATATAAATATCAATAATGTTAATAATGTTGTTATTATTGTTATTAAAATTTTAGGCTAGTGATCCAACTGGAAAAAATGGTCCAAAAACTGATTTACCTGATATTGTTACCGTTTCGGTAAATAATAATAATATTATTATTGTTAATTTTTTATCTAAATTGCCACAAATAATTTATTCCTTTATTTCTTAAATTGAATACTACAAACAGGAACCCAAAGATGAACCAATAATCACACAGCCTAGTTCTGAGGATTTCCAAAAATCAGCAATACCACCTCCTGATATTGTAGCTGTTTCACAATCACCACCTATTGCTCCTGCAGAGTATGGAGGTGGTGGTGGCGGAGGAGGAGGTGGTGGTGGAGGTGGAAGTTATGAATGGGATAAGCAATAAATTATGATGATGATTCATCAAATAAAAAAATTCAGCCAAATACTTTTATTTATTAGCTGTTGAAATAGTAAAAAAAAAAATGATGTTATTATTATTAATATTAATTAATTAAAGATATGAATTTTTTTTTCAAGAAAAAGAAATACCACATGTGTATACATGTTTGCTTACCTTGTAACAATTCCTGGAATTATTTGATATTGATGAAATTATCCAACATAATTTGAATTAGATACCATTCAAATTCAACAACAGATCTAATGATGGTTCAAAATGATAAATCCAAATGTAAAATTTGTTTTACATATATATTAATATATAGCAAAGTTCTTTGAGAAATTGATCAACAAATTCAATTAATTTCATTCACTGAAAATTTCAGTCGGCAGAGTTAAAACTGGTGCTAAATAGTTCAAATCAATTTATTATTTCTATGTAAGGAGGGATGAGAACCAACCCAGTTTAAAGGTTTAAACTGTGAAACTGTGTACATTAAAAATTTTAAAAAAATTATTATTTATTTTACAAAAATTTGAAGGCTTTTCTAGTTATTATTAAAAAAATGGTGGTGGTGATTATTGATCAGAAACCCTTCATTCTATTAAAAGAATGAAATCATCATTCCAGTTAATTATTATCACTGTTTTGCCTTTTTATGCCACCATTACTACCACCAGTATCGTTTTTTCATCCAAAGCACAATTAAAACGACAAAGAAGAATATTGTTACGGATGATTCATTGTCACCATCATTATTGATTGACAGAACATGAGGTAAGCAATAAGTAAGTTATATTCTCTTTAAATGGATATGATTGACTATTTTGTTTTTAATGACCAATCAATCCTTCAACCTGTAGGAAAATGAATTGTCATCCATCATCATTATTATATAGTTACTACCGTTCCAAAAAGATCAACCAGACCCTTTGATAAGTAAGTAGAAAAAAATTTATTTATTTATTGTGTTAAATTAAATTATTGATTTCTACTTCATAGAATAAATTATAACAATAATAAAAATTATATGG